CTGTGATTGATGGTTGAGGGATCAAATGTTGAAAGTGCTGGATAGGCAACAATCTAGTGGCCATTCTGTCTTGGATGGTGTTGAGCTTTGGAGCTTCAGTCATGCAGGCAAATAGTGAGCATTCCATCACACTAAAGTCCTAAATGGCTTACCTGTATCCTAAGACTGTATCCACTGGTTCTAAACTTCTCAACCAGGGAAAATATACTCCCTGCATCAGGTATTTCTGGCCCGTGAATACAGGCCATGTTGACTCAATATCTTCTCATAGGACAGTGCTGCCATCTTCAGTAAAGGCCTAGTGAAACCTAGAACACACTACCTTTATGGCATGTATGTTCGTTTTTAGGTAGGGAGACCAAAAAGCATACAATACCCCCGGTGTGGTCTCACCAAGGTCCTGAATAACTGCAGTAAACCGTCCTTAATTCTGAACTCAAATCTTATTGCAATGAAGACCAATAAACCGTTTGCCTTCTTAACTGCTTGCTGCACCTACTTGTCTACTTTAGTTGACTGATGTACAAAGACACCCAGATCCTTTGTACATTCACACTTCCCATTATATCACCATTTAAATAATACTCTACCTTTCTGTTTTACTCACTGATGTGTAGAACATCACATTCAGCCATATTATATTGCATTTGCCATGTATTTGACCAATTAAATCACCTTGAAGCCTTCTAGCATCCTCTTCACAACTCCAATCCTGCTCAGTTTTATGTCATCACGAAACTTGGAAATGTTGCATTTGGTTACCTTACATAGGTCACTTACATACATCATGAATGGCTGGGGCCCAAACACTGATCCTTGCAGCACCCACTAGTCATTGCCTGCCATTCAGAAAAAGACCCATTAATTCCCACTCTATTTCCTGCCAGTCAACCAATTCTCAATCCATGCCAATACATTAACACCCTATCCCATGTGCTTCACCTTTGTGTACTAACTTCTTATGAGGGACCTTATCAAAAGCCTTATGAAAATCCAAATACACCAAATCTACTCATCCTCCCTTATCCTCTAGTTACATCCTCAAATTTCCAAATGGTTAGTTAAGCATGATTTGCCTTTCATGAACCCATGCTGATTTTGTCCAACCCCATTACTGCTTTCTAAATTTTCTGTTATCACGTCTTTCATAATGGACTATTTTAACATTTTCCCCACTACTGATGTTAGGTTAACTGGTCTGCAATTGGATTTTTACTCTCCCTCCCTTTTTAAATAGTTGGGCTACATTTGCCACCCTTCAACCTGTAGGAACTGCTCCTGAGTCTGAAGAATTTTGACCGCCAATGTATCTAATATTTTCAGTCACTTTGGTTAGAATTCAGGGATGTAGATTATCAGGCCTTGGTGACTCCTCAGCCTTTAATCCCATTAATTCCTCTACCACCATTTTCTTACTAAAAGTGATTCCCTTCAATTCCACCCCTCACTAGACCCTTGGTTCCTTAACATTTCTGGGAGGTTATTTATGCCCTCTTTTATGAATTAAGGACTCAATTATGGATTCAATTCTTTAGCCACTTCTTTGTTCTCCATTATAATTTCCCTAGTTTCCCTGGAGTACAGAAGTAGAGAGTTTATGCTTCAGTTATGTAAGGCATAGCTGGGACTACATCTAAAGTACTGTGCACAGTGATGGCTTCCTTCTTTAAGACAGGATGTAAGTTCATTGGAGGCAGTTCAGAGAGGGTTATGAGACTAATACTTGGAATCAATGGGTTCATTTATGTGAAAAGGTTGGATAGGCTAGACTTGAGAGTTCAGAAGTATAAGAGTCAACATGATGGAAACATAAAAGATCCTCACAGCATGGATGTGGAAAGGATGTAGGAGAAGCAACTGTCACTGTTTGAAATTAAGTGGTCGCTTACTTAAGATAGAGATTAGGAGAACTTTTCTTTCTCACAAAGAGTTGAAAAGCTTTAAAATTCTCTTGTCATTTTTAAGGCAGAGGTAGATAAATACTTGATAAACAAGAAGATGAAAGTTATTGGAGTCTGTGGAATGTGGAGTAATCAGATCATCTTTGATGCAGTTGAGAATGGCACAGCAAACCCAACACCAAATGATCTACTTCTGTTCCAAATTCATATGTTCATGACCACAAAGTTAGTCTTTCTGATGAGTACTGAGGCAAACTGATTCAATATTTGTCCCATTTTGTCATAATTACTGATATATATTGCACATCCTGTAGAAGGCATACTCTTATCCTAGTTTGAGGTTTTTGTTACTTGTTTGTAGAATCTTGTACTATTACTTTTTAAATTTCTTTATGACTTAATTTCACAGTTCCTTTTCGTCATCTAATTTTTAAAAAATCTTACAGATAACCTCTTTAAATATTCTATTGCTAGCTCTCTGTATGGCTTGTGCAGCTATCTCTTTATTCATGCATGAAGTTTCATTATTAGCTTGTTTGTTTTTGCTTCTTTTAGGCATACATTTCTCCCAAACACTGCTGACCACCATTTAATATAGTTTGCACTTCTGTTCCATCTTTATTTTACGTAGGTTACCTTCTGCAATTCTATGCTGGTGCTGCTGAATTTTGCCTTTTTTTTCCTAAAGCCCAGTTTAACATCCTCTATAATAAATTTTAATATTTTCCTTACTACTGATCTCAAACTAACAGGTCTATAGCTCTCCATTCTCCCAATTTCTCCCTTCCTAAATAATGGAATTATATTTGCTACTTTCCAGTCCACATTTCCAGAATTGATAAAATTTTGAAAGATAACCATTAGCTATCCAGCTACCATCTTCAACAGCCTGGGATGAAGACCATCTAATCCATAGGATTTATCAACGTTCAATTAGGTTAAGTTTTCAAGTACTTTATTTTTACCAATACTAATTTTTTAAGGTCCTCAGTATAACAAAGCCCTGTCATCTGGTATTTCTGGGAGAATTTCTCCTGTGAAATTGAATGCTAAGTAATTTTAGTTTCTCATTCATATCCCTGCTCTCCACTGTAAATTCTCCTGTTCCCACTTGTAATGATCCCACATTTGTCCAAGTTAATCTTTTACTTTTCACATGTGCAACAAAGCTTTTGCAATTTGCTTTTATGTCCCCCATTACTTTGCATTCATATTCTCTTCTCCCTTTCTTAATCTAGTTATTTGTCCTCTTTTTCTGTGTTCTGAACTGCACCCAGACCTTCAGTACTTCTGGCATCCTATCTTTGATACTTTGATTTCCTTTGATTTTATGTAGTCTTTAACTAATTTCATTAAGGATGGTTGATTTGTCATTCCCTTACGGTGTTTGTGCCTTAGAGGAATGTATATCTGTTGCAGATTGTGTCTAGCCATTGCCTATTTCCTGTCAAATCTTTCAGTGTATTTTCACAATTCACCATTGCCAACTTGGCCTTCAATCTAAGATCATCTCTTACTAATGTATGAATCACCCTTATTAAAATTCCCAACATACCTCCTTTTACATTTTATCCATCTCTCTTAAATGCTAAGCATTCTCAGATATTCAGTTCGTAATCTTGGTCAACCCAGCTGTTCCAAAGAAGAGTAATTGAACTTGAAGCATTAATTCTGTTTCTCTCTCCATAGATGAAGGGTCTGATGAAGGGTCTGGGCCCGAAACGTCAGCCTTCCTGCTCCTATGATGCTGCTTGGCCTGCTGTGTTCGTCCAGCTCTGCACCTTGTTGCTTCCGAAACTGCTGGGTTTCTAAATCACTTCCTGTTTTTATGAAGGCCCTAAACATCGAAGATCATACCTGGAAATCACTAGATGGCGAAAGCAAAACATGGCGAGACATCCGATGGGGCCAGCTTGCACCACCAGGACAACCAGTAGAAATAGCAGTTAGGCAATCGTTACCAACACCAGAAACAACATCTCAATGTGTCACTTGAAAGCTTCATGTACAGCATTAGTGACAGAGCAGGCATCAGCAAAAAGTGCACCAAATGAAAATATCCAATCTAAATGAAGGCATTCAGAATTTGTATCCCAGCATTCTAAGCTCCCTTTTGATTATTCTCACTTTTCATAAAGAAATTTCTTCTCCTTTCCCTTGCTTGCTCACTTCACCCACTCCAGCTTGCACCTGAAGCTTTGAATAAATATATGCAAATGAGTTAACCAAGGAAATTTGAGTACTTAGACTAGGAATGATTTAACAGCATCTTTAAATATTTACATACACCTTATTACAGAAAACAAAAACTGGACCCTACAAATTTAACTTTATAGTCAAGGTAGTCTGATTTTAATAAATAAGCTTTATACTTCTCTCTTGCACAACCTTTGAAATTACATTGAACTATGTTGATAGCTGTGGCAGCTATAAATCAACAGCTCTTCTCCTGACTTTTCAACTTGGTATGAGTTAATTAGCTGTATGTTTAATTTAAAACTAATTTTGAAGTTACACATTTTTAATGAAGGGATTAGAAAGTAGTAAACTTAATCTTGGGCCCTACAGTATGGTGCAGTGCTCCATTGTTGATGGGCAGAAAACTGAACAAAGTGCCCAACCTTTAGTTGCCATCCAGAAAGCAAATGCTAAAAACGTGAAATTAAAAAAAGTCAACATAATGCACAGTGGGCCTGAAAAAAGTAGACCATGTCTGGTACGTACCCGTCATGTCTATCCTACATAACCTCTCTTTATTGCTTTAAAGGTACTGACCTGCAATGTATTTCCAGTAAGTCTAATTTTCATTCCAGTAATCTATATTGGACGTACACATGTATAAACAACGCATATGGTCAAAACAGACTATTAATGCTTAGTTTGCACATGAATAATGGTTACTTGGACAAGATTGAACACAAGGAGCACAGCAGAGGGAACTGATAAGAACATCTTTTAAGAAGTAGGCAGCAGTCATCCAGCAAAATTAATGGTGCAGTGTAGAAACAGAAATCTGTTTAATAAACAACAACTGAGACATAACCATAGAATCAGACTTTAATGTTAACAGGTAAACGTAATTATATCAATAACTCTCACCAGCTTGGGACATGAGATGTTTGATATATCCTCGAACTCTCTGCAAACCCACAGATTCCCAGAAATCCAATACAGTGTGAAGAGCCAGGAAAGCACTGTAGTCTTTTAAACCTGAAATAAGCCAATTATTTTAAGTCTTAAAGACTACAAAATACTGTATAAGACAACCAACTTATTATTTTTGAACCTCTCTCTACAAATTACTATTTGAAATGAAATACTGTTTGCCACAAATTAACTATTGCTAATTTATGAATTAAGTTGTTGTCAACTACACCATATTAGATAAAATGTGAAGGGAGCTATACTAAACTGCACACACCAGTTTGTAAGGAAATGTAGACTCCTCCATGATCTTGTAAGCTAGGTTTCAATCAGGAGGTAGCTGTTTCAGCCAATACTGATGGGAGGGCAGATGCTGCTTCAACACCTGAAAAAGGGAAACCCAGTGCCAGGTGAAACCTGACAATGGGTGACTTACTAGTGTGGGATTTTATGTCACTGATCCCTTTCTTTGCTGATTATCCTCTTGTTGGCTAACAGAAAACTACTTGCTGCTTTAGTCACCCTATTGGTCTTCACAATGATCTACTTGGTCTCTCATTAGCAGCTCCAGCTTCATAGGGCCAAGGTTGAGCTTGGATTGGTACCGAGTTTGGGCTAAATGGATAGCTAGCCAGCAACTTCCAGTTCTTGTTGGAATGTTTCCAGGATTGGCATGGTGCACAGGTTTACCTTACACCTCTGGGAGCAAGCATCTTTTGCCCGACAGTAGGAACAGGTCCTGGCTCTAGCTCTGTTGTATGAGACATGGCCTGGCTGCAGACATTGCCATAAATGGCTCTTCAAGTACAGTGGGTTCTGTAATTCCTTCTATAAGCAAGGGTACTGCAAGTTAACATGTGCCTCATTTTCAAAAGGTTTCCTCCAAACTACTGCATGTTTATTTCTTCGTTTCCTAGAAGCTCAGCTTACTTTGCCTTCACTAAGGCCTCACTAAGTACAACTAAGGCCTGTCAGGTGAGTTGTAGCCATTCAGAGAGTTTCAGCATTGCAATGTGGATCTATTGTGCACTAGTTGAAGGGCCTAAATAGCTCTGTCCATAATCTCACACTCTCCCAATGACCCATACCAATTCAATCATAATCCAATTGTCCCACTTTCTCCTCACAGTCTAGTTTAAATCACAACCAAGAGGTAAAAATGCGAACAAAAACAAAGTTGCTGGAAAAGCTCAGCAGGTCTGGCAGCACCTGTGGAGGAGAAAACAGAGTTTTTGTTTTGGGTCCGGTGACCCTTCCTCAGAACTGATGGTGGCTGGGAAAACGTCAGTTTATATGCAGAAAATAGGGAGGTGGGTGGGGTA